TTTATTTTGGTTTTTGGTTGTTTCAAAGAAGACGCGGTTGGTGGTTGAAAGGGATTTGACGGCTTTTTTTTCTGTTTTTTTCTTTTTTTTTTCAGTGCCACCCGGATGCGACTTTGGTGCCCGCCACGCGGGGCCTTGTCGCTGGGAGCAGGGAGCACGCGAGCTACCCGCCCGCACTTGTGGACTACGGGCCCACGTTTTACCTGGCGTCGATGTACACATGACGCGTTTCCGTCTGCTTTGTGTTGGGTGCCGTTTTTTTTTCCTTTTGCGGTATCTTCGCTCACGCCCTTCTGCTTCTTCCGTCTTGTGCGTGTCATTCCGCGCCAGGCCCCCGGGTGTGTGTGTGTGTGTGTGGCGGCCCGGACCCATTTGTTGCCTTTGCGGTGTTTTCTCCCTCCTCCTCCTCCTGCATCCGGGGACGGCCGCGGCGCCGTCGCACGCGTGCGTGAAGTAAACGGGCGGCGTGTGTTGTGGTTTGCTCCTTTTTTTTTGTTTCCCGCCCCGCCGCATTCCCCGGCGGGGTGAAAGAAAAGGGGGAAAAGGGGTTCGGCGCATGCGCGTCGTTGTCCTCCGCACTTAGACTTGTGTGCGCGCATGCGTGCCGGTGTGGCTCAACAGCCGCCTTCAGCTGCGGGGTGCGGTGCGGCCGCCGACGGCTGCCGTCGACGGTGCCCCTCGATTTCGTCTCGCGCCCGCCGGGCGGTTGCGGGGGTCCCTCGGCGGGGGGAGGAGGCGCTGCGCCCCCGCTCCCTGCGCCGCGGCGAAGGAGGCGCCTCGGTGCCTTTGCGCGGGCGGGTCCGGCGGTGTGTGTGTGGCTCTCTTGCGCGGCCGCCGCAGTTCTGCCCAAGACGCGGGGTCCTGGCGTCTGCGGGATGTTCCGGCGGCCGCGGCGGGGTGGAGGGGAGGCGGGGGCGTCCATCTGTGCGGCGTCACTCCCTCCCCGTAGCTGCGTGAACGGTGGGAGGACCTGACGTGTGGGCGATGCCGTCCGCTGCCGCACTCTTGCCTTGTGTCCTTCGCTTTCCCTCTCCCCCTTTTCTTCACTCGCTCTCGCCCTTTTCCCCTTTTCGTTCTGGCGCACAGCGTAACCGGCGTTCTGCCTTAGTTTGTTCCGTGGCGATGGAGCGGGCGGCGTTCCCTCTGTTGCACCAGAGACTGACCGCGAGCGGCTTCGATGCGTGGGACGCGGTGACGGAGGAGGACGTCTACGCGGGCGCCCCGCACTGCTACGCTGAATTCATGCGTGCCATCCTCACCTCCTTCCCCCGTGAAACCGCGGCGCTGATGCGCAAGCACCCCTGGCTCTGCGTAGAGGGCGAGGACGGGGCCCTGGCGGCTGCGGTGCTGCGACTCTTGTCCCTGGAAGGTGGCCGCAGGAACAGCATTAAGTCGACGCAGTTTCGGGAGAAGAAGTACGCCGCCGCGAAAATAAATCTCTGCATCGAATTGTTTGACCTGTTGGACCGGCTGGCTGCTTCCAGCGGCGGCACGCGCAGCCCAGGCGCCGCGGAGCGAAAGGTTGGGGCCGCCAAGACGGGCCCTTCTTGTCCTCCGGCCCGCGACGCGCCGGCGCTGTTGCTGAATGCGCGGCTGGCCGACGTCCACGGGAGGAAACGGGCCCTCGACCACCTCGTGCGCAAATGAACCCGGCGTCGCGGCCGTAACTTCGGCTACGCCAGTCGTTGCCGTCACCGGCGCCCTGCGGCGGTGTCCCCCGTTGCAGCGTCAGCGTCGTATGCCACAGTGGCCGCTGCTGCCGCTGCTGATGGCGGCGACTTGTGAAAAGAGGGGCGGCGTGACGGTTTTCAAACCAAACAAACAAACAAACAAAAAAGAGCTCCATAGATAAAGTAAAAAAAAACGAAGGGAATTCGCATTTACTTACTGATTATTTTATTGTTGTTCCTCCTTTTCATTCTGCGGATTGCTGTGAACGCCAGAGGTGCTACCCGCTGCTTGTGGACAATGGAACGAGGATAACCGCAGCAACAACACATGGGCCTGTCGAGCTGGCGCCCACTCAACTGAGTGACGTTAGATTACTTTAAGACTCATGCTTTCTGCCCTTCCTTCGGGGGTTTTTATGGGCGTGAGTCGCTCTGATGCGGCAATTGGGTGGCGTGCATCGCAGAGATAATAGTTTTTCCTGCTGCCTCTGGCCGAAGAAAATTGTTTCTTTTTTGTCTTTCTTCTTTTCCGCTCAATCTCGGTTCGTAGTGTAGGCGGTAGCGAGGCTCTTGGGGGGCCCGCACGGGGGCGTGAGGCACCACGACCGTCTTCGGGGCCCGCTGTGGTGGGCGCCCGGTGGTGAGCGAGGCACACAGGGAGCCGCGCAGCCCGCGGCACGGCAGCGACACGACAAGCGGGACAGGCGGGCGTGGGGAGAGGCAGAAGGCAGACGGCGATGCGTGAATGGCGTGCGGCCTAGAAATAGAAGAAGAAAAAAGAAGCTTGTGTCTGGGTGGGGCTCACTGAGCGACGCGGTGGCCGAAAAGTTGCGGAAGCCGCTGCCCTTCCCGCGGGAAATGTGCCGCCACTCTCCCCTCGTTTCTTGCGGCGGGGCAATTGTGCCGGCGACTGAACGGCGCACGGAAGTGCAGCGGCGTAAGCCACGACGACTGAACAAAGCGGACACGTCTCTCATCTGCTGCCGCCCTCGCCGGCTGCGCCCCGTGCGGTCGAATTCGCGTGGGAAAACGTCCCCTCGCGGAGTTCACGTGCTGGGCGCCCTGTGTGTTTGCGTCGTGGCGGGCAATGCGGCGGCGCTCCTCCTCCTCCTGTTCGCGGGTGGGCAGCCGCCTGGTGTGCTCTGCCCCTTCTCGCCTGAGTGCATTGCGGCACAACATGCCGCCGCAACAAGGCGGTGTCATTTCCCACAGTGAGTGGGCGATACCTGCGCGTAGCCGCACACACGCACACAGAGAGAGACGGAGATGTGTGTGGGGACGCGAATGGCGGGTGCAGTGTGTGGCAGGAGCACCATCGCAGTTGTATTGTGCCCTGCACTGTGCACACACATGCCCCCCCC